AAATAGGCGAGCTATGACAAAGATTGTCTCAAAACGCACCGAAAACCGCCACATTTTTACCTATAAACGTCTTCATAACTCAAAAAATAGGATAGCTAGCTATGAAAAATCTGAAAGCAGGACTAGATTCTGCACTAGAAAATGTACTGGATTGCCACGTTTCTTTTAAATACTCTGAGAAATAAGCGAGTTATGACGAATATTGTCTCAAAACTCACCAAAGAACGTCCCATATTTTTTTTTTTTCATTAAATAAAAGTGTACCAGAAATTAATTGATTAAAAAATCTGTAACTTTTTTGTTTATTGATGGATTTCAAAAATTCAAAAAGTTCCATGCTCTGTGAAGATAAAGCTACAAAATGTACATATTTACAAACACTTTCTGGCAAAAAAAGGTTTTTCGTGGTCATTGCTACAAACAGAAACATGCACACACAGTACTTCAAACATAATACTTCTATGAGCTGGATTAGGCCGTGTAGTTGAGAAAGTTGAACGCACCCGACAAAGAACCAATGAGCGCATAGGTACCTGTGTCACTGGGGGAAAGTGTGTCGAAAACTTTCACCCCATTGTCAGGGCGAGGAGAGCGTGAGCCCTCGCTGCAGTGTTATTTTTTCAAGTCTGTTACCTTTTTTACAAGAAGAGTTTCATTAAGGACGGGCCGTGAGAAAGGGCTCATCCTTTGCTGAGCCCTAAAGACATTTGATTGACTGCTGGGTTACTATAGTTGTAAGCGGTGACAACAGTGATTGGATAACTTTATAAGCGAGCAAGCCGCCAAGTTGATCACTTTGTGTTCATTGCGTGTGGTCATAACAGTTTCAACTGCTTACTTCGTTGTGGAGAAACTTTCGTTTACTTTGGGATAGAGTTGGGGGTGGTGGGTGGTGGGTGGGGAGGGGGTAGGGTCTCAAGCCCATGAGCCCTTCACTACCCACCGCCACTGGTGCCGTGTGCCGTCAATGGAGGGTCCGCCTTAGGTACCTTTGTGTAGACATTTCTTTAAAAAGTTTTAAGGCAAGGTGATCTTGTAGTTCCGTTTGTTAAAGTCCACGATCCATTTGTTTACATCCAGAGAAGAAATTCAAAAGTCTTGATGACCAAATACTATTTGAAATAGGCTGCACAAAGAGTAGGGATGCAATCTAACTGCAAAACATCAAATTAGGATACAATTCAGGGGGGCATGCTCCCCTGAACCCCCCCCATCTCCATATTTTTATTAGGTCACAGGGGCAAGCCCCCCTGAAATCCTACTCTTGACTTAAACGAACGAAACTACAAATCAAAATTGCCAGTTTTAAAAGATGTTTCATTGATTGGGAGTTTAAATGTTTCCTCC